GGGTGGTGGTGGTGTGGGGGCGGCGTGTGTTGGGGTGGGGGGTGGCGGGGTGATTCTATGGGGACATTGGAGGAAGAACAAAGAGCAGGGCCATGTGACTTGAGGTTTAGTCTTTGTGGACACAAGCATCTGCGGCACAGGGCCCGAACAGAGCTGCACGCTTTGTGAGGACAATACAGAGACACTGTGTTGTTTTCTGTGTGTGTGTGTGGTTTATACAGGCCTAAATAGCCTCCATTCATTGGGTCTTCTGAAGATGACTGGGTCTGGACAGGCGAGCTGCCCCGCTAATTACCATCAGTCATTGCGCTGGTTTGTTCAGCTCTGCAGAGACCTTTGTTGTCCTGCATTGTACCAGGAAGTGTCCAGCCCCATGGTGTCCGCCGGTTGCTTCGCTGCATTAAAAAGACCAACAAGTTCACCCTGGAAGTAGTTATTCAGCCACTGTGATTTAGCAGGTTTTATTTCTGAATGCCATTCATCCAAAACCTTAGAAATATTGACTATATAGAGTGCAGCAAGAGATGAGTGTTTAGTTAGTTCAGGTCATAATTAGACAGCTCGCCTTCATCATTTCTTTCTAAAAGGTTTGTCTAAGGGTTTGTTTACAACCTGTCTGACTGTCTGACTGCTGGGGTTTAGACACATTCTTAGCAATGTTAGCAATGTCTGTTAGCAATGTCTGCTTATTAGTGAGATGAAATTTATAAGCATGTTTAACCAACTTCTAAACTGGCGATCTCCTTTACAGCAGTGATTCTCAACGATCAGGCCACAACCCGGTACAGACGCTGAAACAAACGTGTAAATGTGCATTCCCTTTTTTGAAACTTAGTATCTACTGAGTACTCTCTGCTCTTCCCGACCACATACCTCCATGAAGTGTTTCTCCATTGTGTCAGCCACAAAAAAAGGAGGTACGAGATAAAAACAGAGAAAAGACTCACCCTCTGTCAGTTGCTGGTATGGATTGTTCACACTATGACAGATTAGTTATGAATGTGTCCAAATTTCTCATTGAGTGGTGAGTTTAATTTAATTATTAATAATGTATAAATCAAATTGAGTTTTAGTTTCGCACTTCTCTCCCTCTCTCTTTCTCTCTCTCTCTTTCTGACATGTTCGTCACAGCGGCTGTAACCTCCCAAAAACAGAGAGCCAACAGAGGAACCACCTCACCTGAAGTGAGTATAAATGAACACATTTCTCACTAATTTTACTTTTTTATTTTGACGACTTATATTAAATAGTCCAGTATAATAATGGTTTTTACTTCATCTTCAATGTATCAATTTGTTGTCAATTCGTATTGCATCGGCTTCGGTGATGGAACCGCACAACTGGACTTTTTAGTGAAGCAGGAAAACATCTGGTGTCCCATTTGTTTCATATTCATAGATTCTTGATGTTTGAATAAAGAAAAACTATGTTGAAACCCCACATCAGACTGTAAATGTTGAAAACTTGTCTGCAGAGGATCTTTTGAAGTAGGCTGGGTGAGAGAAACCCGAGAGAACAACATGCAAACTCAGGAATCTAAATCTCCACCTTCTGTGCGTGGCTTGAGACTGAGACAATACAAACAAGTCATCTGCCAAAAGACATCACACACTGTGCCAGAACACACACTGCGACAAAATTCCATACATATGCAGGTAGTGTAGGGGAGTAGTGTGACACACAATGACTCATCTCATTTAGCAGTTTTTGGCCTGGTTACACATCAGCCTTTGTAGTGGTCCACAGGGGATGATTAAGTGGATTAAATACTAATATTTCCATAGTGCATTTAGTGAAATCATAGTCTTGGCACTTCCGCTCATATAGCTGGGAACGGCAGTCTCTTGAGAACCCACCCCCCATATTACTCCCGTGGCTAATTTCAGCCGCCCATCTGCACCAGAGGTGTGGATTAAGCCCATTTGTCACCGCAGAAGTATATACTACACTCCCCTATAAAATCCACTTTTCCAAGATTTAAACAGACAAGCTCTTTTCTCCTGCCCCCTCCCTCCCAGACAAGAGGTGCTGAGGTGTAAAAGGCTTCCTGCATTGTTGTGTTGATCACACGGGGGAAGGATCAGAGCCTCCAAGAGGAAGGCAGGCTCTTACTAAAAATGTCACATCAAAGACACACCAACGTGCAAAACTGGTTTGCCGCCATTCATCCCAGCATCGGTGCCATGGCCCTGTCAGTGGGCCAAACTAGCATCAGGGAGCCAAGTGCCAACGCACTTAAGCCATCGGGAGACACACATATAAACATGTCTATACCGTATCTAGGTTAACTTTGTCTGGCCAATCTGCTCTGGTTTCTCTACCCTTAATCTCCTCCCTGCCTTAACACGGTGGGAGGTACAGCACATAATGCCATAGGATTTCCATTCCTTTGCACTGGGTGTGAACAATGAAGCTGGTAAACAATAATAAATGTGAGGACAACAATCAAAAAACAAATAAATCTGAATTTATGGTATAGCAACAAAGAATGTAAAGAGAGTTTGACCTATTTGGAAAGTTTTTTGGATTGAGGCGCCTGGTAATCTGTGACACAGTTTTAAATTAATTAGAAATGTAGGTTTTGGCACCGAATGCTTCCACAGCCAGCTAGCTCTCAGTTTCCCTCTTCTGCTCAATTTTGCTCCCACAGGAGTGAAAACAGGGAAACAGAAATTGAATTCCTTTGTAATTTTGCTATTTTCCTGCCAAAAAATACATGCGTGTTCCTGAATTTAAATGAAAAATAATTAACTTAACCATTGCTGGACAGTTAACAAATTTAAAATGTGTAAAGAAAATGCAACGACATGCCAGTCTTCAGAGTCAAATTTTATCAGCTGTGCTACACTTAGGGTGGAACCTCCATCATATTAAAGTGACTGATATTATATATATTAGGTTTATATTTAGTCATATTAAGTTTGAAATCAATGTGAAACAAATATAATTGTAGATGTCTTTAAAGTTTGTGTATAATTATTATTATAAAATTGTTTTTAGACATATCTGAGTAAACCTCAGCCCTCTGTATGGGTGTTTTCCATGGCAGTGGTTGAGTGATGGCATTGCAAGGTGACGCCCTGCTGAAAAACAAATAGCCTCAATATTCCTTACAAAGGTTGATACAATTCTACATAGTTTGGCTGTCCTTCTTTACCAATCTAAGCTTTCTGCCCCTTTACAACTTCCAAAATGTGGGTTTGTATTGCATTCAGAAAGTGAAAGCTAGACAGGTTTGCTAACGTTTAAGCTGCAGTAGGCATTTTTTTATTTAAAAAAAATGTTTTGTCATTATATTAGGAGCACTAGGAGGAGCCAGAAGAACCAGAGTTTTTTCACAGATTTTCTGTCTCATGTACTACTGTTAGAACACTGAAGATTACAATATTGTAAAGAACTTTTTTTAAATAAAAGTTACCTACTGCAGCTGTAATGCTGATTGTATGAGACATTACTCTCGTGAATGTTTTTAAACACCTGCTGAGTGGCACTGGCATTGATGACGTGGCGATATTAAAGTGCTATCAATATACTGTTTTTAGTGCCTTCCCACACAAACATTTAACAAATAATTATGGCACTGACATTCTCAACGGTACCAAAAATTCAAGCCCCCTGGACAACACCAATGTAGGGGACGTTATCTCTGCAGAGAAATAAATCTGGTATTTTGATCAAGTAAGCACATAACTCAAAACAAACCAATGATAAGTGTTAATTTCTTAGAGAACATTAATTAGAATTTCAGTTCGACTAAAAAAGCATTAGGCAATTGCATCCAACAAACACAGATTATTAACAAATATAGATTACACTTTAGACTCCACCCAAAGCCAGCATTGATCCCATACCGGCTGAGTTGCATTGCCAGGACTATACCCATTGATCAGCTCCTACTGGTGCGGGGGTTGCAGGATCCCAGTGAAACCAGTTCATTGATCCAGCGAAACAGAGAGAGATTAGACAGTTGTGAAAGAGAACATTGATCTCCAGCTGCATCCAAAGGGCACTCCTGTCCTGATGGGTCGGGGGGGTTCCATCCCCCTACTCCTGCTCCCATCACTCGTCCTCCACCCTCCTCCCCTCCTTCTCCCACTCCTTCACTCTGCTCGCTGGACCATGCATCAGTATTGTGTCCTTCTGACCGTGTGCCGCTCTCTTGTGTAAAATGAGCCTCCACCGGTAAGAGGCACCACCCAAAACAGCAGCAGCAGGGAGCCTTGTATTGTACTGCACCGCTGCCTACACTGTAAAGCTACTGTACTCGCATCACACTGGTTTAACTCATCAACAACCTCCGCTGGGTTACTTTTTAATAAATCAAACACCTGCATCAGCACTAAAATACTATGGAGTTCACTTGCCGTCTCCTTTGCGGCTTGCTTGTGTTCCCCCCCACCCTCAGAAGAAAAGAGCCACATGCAGCTACAGTGCACACACCGTTTCATCAATTGCACACGTCAAACTGTGATAAATGAGTCCAATAGCATTGCGGGGCAGCCGAGGAGTCCCAGCTGCCTCAGCCCAGAACAGGGGAAGCGCAGCCAAAAGACAACCAGCACAGCCCCGCTCCTATAACCCCCAGTCTGGGGGCAAGGAGACATTCACATCAGGGACTGCAGTAAATATGTTACCACACTATACAGTAGCAAGATGGCTCCAATGCACCTCCGCCACGTGCAGTACTGCAGGAACAGAGGCTCAGGGAAGAAACTTTTGAATTTAAATGATTTCATGAAATCATAAAAAGTATATGATCAATACAATACAATCAATGCAAGTAAATCTAAACCACAAAGCAGAACACTTTGAGCAAGTTCACCAGCTTTCTTGCACTCTTTTATGTACACAAATATTTACATATTAATATTTCATCAATACTGCAAGAGTAGTAGTAGATGGGACATCCATACAGCCACTCAGCATCTCTCATCATCTCCCCAGCCCCCCTCTGAACCCCAGGGGAGAAGTGGCGAAACATTAGAGAGGGTGGACCATACCTGTTTGCCAGATGTATAGGGGTTTAGTTTCCGTTGCGGTTTGTGCATCCAGCTCCCAGATGGAAAGAAAGAGCAGTGCTATCCTCCAGAGAGAGACTCTTGAGACCCCCAGCGTCCCCATGGCTCTGCCGGCCAGCCCCTGCACGGCAAGAACTGTAGTTCCCAATGCAGTGAGGAGGGGAAAAAAGCAAGCCTGGCCACGAGGTAGAGAACTGGACTGAAGTGTGTGTGTTTTCTGCTTGTGCTTTGTCCACACCAGTGCATCCAAGAAGAAGTAATCCCAGGCAAATGGGGCTGAGGTCTCCTCTCGCGCTCCTTGTCCTCTCGGTTTCTCTTTCTCTCTTGGATCCTTAATGAGAGAGAACAAGGTCTGACAATAATAAAACAGGGAACAATAGATCCCTAAGCCCAGCCTGCTGCTGCCGCTGCTGCTGCTGTATGCCGGTTGATGCAGCACCTCCCTCTCTCTCTCTCCCTCTCCCTCTCTCTCTCTCTCTCTCTCCCTTACACACACAGACACACGAACACCCTCCCTCTCTAACCCTCCCTCCCACTCGTCTCTCATCCCCTTTTCAAAGGGCTCAGTGAAGCTGTTCTGCACTCCGATCGAAGTAGGAAGCTAGATTGGGCAGGTGGAGCTGTTTTTGGGTTTTACCCGCTGAACCAGAATATTCTCCTTCAAATCCAACTTCTCTGAAAAAACTTTACATTTGTCTCATGTTTGTAACTGTAAACACTATTATCCTCAACAATAATAAATACATTTCCTTTGGGAGTAAAACAGGGGATTCCACAGGGTCCTATTCATTTTTCCATTTTCAGTATTTACCAGAGTCATGTAGAAGATTTTTATGTATGCAGATGATATTGTCTTCTGTATCTCTGTATGTAGCTATTTCCTAAGTTTCCCACCCAGTTGTCTTGTACAAGCAGCTTCAACAGGAGTCACACACTTGGATAGGAGGCCGCCATATTCAGAATCAGAATCAGAATCAGAAATACTTTAATAATCCCCGTGGGGAAATTACTTGTAGTTGTATTAGTAACTGAATATCTATGATTTCTTTAAAATTGCTACACTTACATTTATCCGTAATTGTCTGCATAAGCAGTCCCCTTACATGCTCAGTGACAGTGTGAAACTAGAGGTTGCGTTAGACTTTCTTTCTTGACAGGGTTGTAATAATGCTGTGATAATATATTATTACCCATCATTTTAATTCAAATTTTTTGAAAGATTATGAGACATATCTTGTCAGAAAATGTAATCATATTACACATGGATGCACAACATAGATTTTTTCTTTCAGCCGATACGATAATAGATGATCACCTGCTTCTCATGGCTGATACGGACCTTTCATTTTGTATTTTTTTATTTTAAAAAGAAGTTTTAATATTCCATAGCTCTGTTCTAACCAAATCTACCTGACACCCCTATTGTTAACAAAACAAAAACAAACAACTGTTCTGAATCTTCATGTTAAAAAAAAACTTCATAAACATACGTTGGCTTTCAAAGAACATATAGGCTATTAATTGTTTTGTATAAGAATTCCAAATAAATTATTATTAATATCAGCCAACAATTTATCGGCTGTGGTACATTTATCACGATAATGTTTAAAAATATAAATGTACCATTACCGGCCAATAATTTATCTGTCACAATAATTATCGTGCATCTCTATATTACACAAATCTTAACTTCACTTCATTGGCTCCCTGTTCATGTCAGATGAAACTTTAAGGTGCTTCTAATTACAAAATGGTAAATGGGCTTGCCCCTTCTTATCTCTGATCTCATTAAACATTATGTCCCATCCTTTGCTCTATGCTCTCTTAATACTGTGATCCTATGTGTCCCCAGAGTCAAAAAGACGTTGTGCTCCATTCCCCTTGAATAACCTCCCTGTTGACATCAGACAATATGACTCTGTTGAGGCCTTTAAATCCAAACTTTAAACTAATTTGTTCATTTCAATTAGTGCTTATTCACAGATTAGTTCCGGCCCCGCACCTGATATCATAACCCTTTCAGTGGGTCAGTCTCAGTCTCAATGAATCTCTTTACCCTGTACTCCATGTTTGTCCTGTTGATGAGAATAAATCTGTAAACTCTAATGCATTTCTGTAACCCTCCAAGCTGTGTGAGTTTTGCTGTTTGGGGACACCTGGAGTTGTTGATCAGCCTCCTGGATCCACATTCTTCACATTTTATAATGCTCAATTTCTGCATAATCCAAGGTTTCTTCCATTTTTTTCCTTCTTAAAAGGGTTTTTTGGGGGAGTTTTTAACGTTGATTAATTGTTTGTGTATCTTCCTGTGTTAGTGAGAAATAACATGTTAAAAAGGATATCCAAAAAGTGTGGGGAAAAAAGTAAATTATTAGTGTGGCAGTCAGTTTGACCTTGCATGATATTCAAGCCCAAGATTCACCGTTGAGTTGGAAGAGGTACTTATTATTCATGAACCACTGCACTCAATGAAAGCACATCATAAATTTGATCAGCGGCAGGTGGGTCAGTAAATCAAATGGACGGTGTCAGTCATCATGCTCCCACAAACCAGCCATGGGAATGGTATGGGTTTTTTGATTTACTCTACAGTATCTGTACACCTTTGGGGCTAGTTCATTGCTATTCTCTCACTTGACACTTTTCCTCCATTTTTATTTCATACTGTAACTTCAGCTGGTGGCACCAGCTACTTAAACTTCTGTCTTTTTAACTATGGTCATTATTAAAGGTCAATAAGGATCAACTGGCAGGAATACAATATCCATAGGTATGTTTTCATTAGTGTATAATCACCTGAAAATAAGGATCGTTGTGTTCGGTTCCTCTTCTATGGAGCCCGCCATGTTGAACCAGAGGACGAGGCGAGGGCATTGCAATCAGCACCGGAAGATTCCACTAAATGCTACACACTGGACCTTTACACTCCCCCACCTCCACTGTAGAGATTCAGTAAACACAAACAAAATAGACGTATATAAGGGCAAATAAAAGCTGGTTTGATTCTATGGAATAATGATGAATAAGTAATGTTTGTGATTTTAGCATATAATCAGGCTTGGTTAGCAAGTTGCCCTGGACGTAGATCCCTATGCAGTTAGCTACAATACTGTGAAATAGTCCAGCATGTTCATTTCTTTTTTTAATTTTTATTTTTTTTGTATTTTTTGGGGCTTTTATTGCCTTTGATTGATAGTGACAGCCGAAGATAGACAGGAAAGGGGGGCAGAGAGAGGGGATGACATGCAGAAAAGGGCCGCAGGTGGGATTCGAACTCTGGGCCGCTGCAGCAAAGACTCCTGGTACATGGGACGCCAGCTATGCCAACTGAGCTAACCGGGCGCCCAACATGTTAATTTCTGTCTTTACTTTAAGTCAGATTCAAGAGTCTGTGTTTCCCTATAATAACTACAATGGAGAAGGCAAGTGCAAAAATTGTCAGACTGACAATTATGAGGCCTTTGATGAATAGTGAACTTGGGGTACCTGACTGAATGAGCTTTTGTGCCATGAGCTTAATTACATGCACATATTTGGACTCAAATTACCATTAAAAAAGTAAGCAGCTTACACAGGAGCTTTGAGTAAGATTTAAGGATATAGCCTGACGACGCAACCCCCTGACTTCCACCCAGGGAGATACTCACAATATAAAAGCCATATTACGCCCATTTTCAGGTTCATATTTACTCTTTACTATACTCTATCATATGTTTACATGCTTTAGGGGTAAAAATACATTATTTTTGTCATACTGGCCATTGCTATTGCTGCTGCCCCATTGGTATGATTGGTCAGTTCCCAAAAGCCCACCCTGTTTCTGTCTCACCTCGGCTCCAGCTCCCTAACTCTTTGTTTTTGACTGAGCTAGCTGACATAGCTGCTGGGCACTAATGAACGTTTCCTGCAGTTTGACTTTGACATTTCTTTTTCACGTTTAGCTACATCATTGCCTTCAGAGCAGGTTCATCAAGTGGATTTACATAATGTTACAGCAGCAACATTGCACACACAGCAGCACGGATTACAGCAAACCTTATGCTAAATGAGCTAATCGTAGCATTGCAGTAAGGTTACATAATTACACAAAAAGCAAGGTGAAAAAACCAGCATCCAACCTACTACTCTCTTATTTAGTTGGCCTTAAACGGGGCTCTATGTTCACACAGTTTGTCTTTACTGTGCCTGAATATTAGAACATTAGTCCAGCACTTAACATTCACAGTCAATCGTCCAACAACGCCCCCAGCCTGCTAGCTACATTAACCCAGAGCAGCGTGCTCACACCAAGTTCAACAAAGCAGCCTACAAAAAAATAAAGAGTAAAACAACTTAAACATAAAACCGTACAGCTCCAGAGCTTGAACTGTTACCAGCTCTCCTTGATAAAGTAGTCCGTAGTAAAATGCACAAACATACTCAAAGTGTTTTTTATGTTTAAAGTAATTAAAGAAGTGATTGTTCTTTCTTACTAATGTCAGTCTCTCTCGTTGCGTCTGTTTTAAGGTGATCAGATTTCTGAATGAAAATCAGGGACATTTTCAGCACTGGAGAAAAATAATAAAAAATAATAATAAAAAAAAAAAAAGGGGACAAGTACTCCCCGTTCATTTGAGGTATTTTATTACCAGGATCAGGTGATGGACAGAGGAGGGGGGGGACTTTCCTAGAATACAAATAAATAAGTTCATAACAACATTTTGGCTAGTCTCCTTTTCTTTCCTTTTTCCCCCCCTATTTTTTTTTTTTTTGCGGCCGTCCCCCCCCCCTCCCCCCCTTAAAGTGGCGATGGGTTAAATGTATCGTAATAACCGGTGATGTGACATCTGGTGCATTTTTCCCCATTCAGTGTCAAAATCGGGACATTTTTGGGGACGCTTTGCCCGGGGACAGGCACCCAAAAGGCTGTCCCCTGGGACATCTGCTCACTTTAAGTCTGTTTTAGCACAGGTGCGTGTTGTCTCTCTGATTAGCGCAGTGTGGAAGCTAGCTAGCTGCGTTCTGTCACTGGGTACGCTGTGTTCTGTCAGTGGTGCTAACATTGGGGAAAAGTACCAGTCGGGAGCACTAAGGAAAAAGAGAAGAGGAAGAATAATGTGGCTGCATGTTCTCGTCACAAACTTCTTCTCACTGTCAACAACTCATCCCTCCATGTCTGGATATTGTCCAGCTGCTGTTAGCTCCGCTGCTAGTCAAGCAAGTGAGACTGTTAGCTGTTTTTGGATATATCATTTTTGCTGGAACTGACAGCTGCTGGAGGAAGACATCATTGGTAATTAGTTTCATATTCATTTCCTGTCATAGATGCTGGATACCCGGGCTTTAAAAGAAAAAAATACACTTTGTTGCTGTTTGCGGTGTAGGCCGCAGTGTCTGTTGGTTATTGTAGTAAGGAGAGGACACACATTGCTGCTAGCACACTGTAGTTTCTTGTCATGTGTGATT